AGACTGAACTCTGCTTTCTGTCTGTTTTTCTGCAACCAGGTGTTATTCCTTTGCAGGTAACTCATCCATGGACTCCTCACAATAATGTTTTTTAAATGCATAAACTAGAATACATAGGTTATGAAGGAAATCAAAGGCTAGTGAAAATAGACTTTTTTTTCTTCCATCCAGGCTCACATTAGACTGTGAGTTCCTTGAGAACAGGGCCTGTTTTTTTTTTTTTTGCCTTTGTTTATATTCCCAGCCCTCAGCACAGTGTCTGGAGCGTAGAAGGTGCTTACTAAATGTTTGTTGACTGACGTGGGAGTCTGTGGAGCCCAGGTTAAGAGCTCTTGCTCTAGGCAGAGCTCAGGGTAAAGTTCTCCGGTATCCTAGAGAAGGTTTGATAATTGTGTCCTTTGCATGTTATTGTCCAACAGTAAATTTGAGTCTTCACTGGGACTTCACATGAAAGAATATATTTATGGGTTTTGGAGATCAGGATGTTCTCGCATTAAAAATATGTGATGCATATATTTTTTAAAAATTCAAAAACATTCCTTATTGTACTCCTTGCATGCAAGGCCAGGCCACAGGCAAGGGCTAACTCTGCTCTCTGTCTTGTCAAGGACAAAATCTCATTGAATAAGGAAGACTATTCATGGCCTTCCTTGAGTAGACAATGTGGATTGTGCCTAGTATGCTGGCTTTGGTATCAGGAAGACAGGAGCTCAAATTCTTGCTGGGTGATCCTGGATGAGTTACTTAATCTCAATGGACCTTAGTTTCCTTATCCATAAAATGGGGATAATACCCATATTAGTGCCTGCCTCACAGGGTTATTTTCTGGCTTAAGTGAGATAATGTACTGCAAGGTCCTTAGCAAACTTCAAGTTTGACTTGCAGCAATTTTGAAGACTTTTGGCATGTTTGAATCAAATGGGAATCACTTTTTATTTTTGAAAACAGTGACTTGGCTAAGTGCCACCTTCTCCTCCATGAGATCTTCCTTAGTCAATCCTGATGTTAGTATTTTCCCCCAGAAATCACCTTTTATCCACTTTGAATAAACACATGTAGCTATGTTTTCTCCCTTGATAGAAGGTAAGCTCCCCGAGGGCAGGGATCATCTTCATTTTCAAGGTCTTTGAATTTCCATTGCCTAGTACAGTGTGGCATATAGCAGGTGGTGAACATATGCTTGGTTGATTATGATTAGTATCTCCCAAGCAAAGTAATAATCAACCAATAAGCATTTAAGCCCTGCCAATGTGTCAGGTGCTAGAAAGTCAAAGACAAAAATGAAATAATACCTCCCCTCAAAGTGCTTATAGTCTCTGTAAATAAATTATGCTCACAAATACATTACCTTGACAGAATTCTGAAGGACTGTGACAGGAAATGTGGTACTAGGCATGGAACTCAAGAAAAGTCGAAAACTCTCCTTAATTGAAGCATCTGTAAAAACAAACCCACAAATTGGTTTTGTTCAATAAGTGCTTATATATCTTCTTTTATAAAGATTAGGCTATATGTTACATGAGGTAAAGGACTGTCTTCTCTATTTAGAAAGGACAGGAAAAAATCATTATCAAATAAGATATTACAAAGAGAGAACCTTTCTGCTCATGATAAGTTTGAGACATGGCCCAGGTAATCTACATGCCCAGGTACAGAAAGAATGGGAAGAGGGGATTATTGAGCTATGATTAATGATTTTTGAGACTGTGGGGTAGAGGAAAGCTACCATAAGAAAGGAGAAGGGCAAATAACCCCCTTTCCAAAAAAAAAAGCAAGAGAATGGAGTCTGTAAGCTATGGGTCAGTGAGCTTGACTTTGATTCTTTGCAGAATTCTAGAATGTGTAATTAAGAGGTGAGTTAATGAACATCTAGAATGACCGCAGACTTAGCTTAGCTTTATCAAGAAGGGGTCATGCTAGATGAAGCTTTCTTGCCAGTGTTAACAGTGATCTATTGATTAGAGGAAGGCTATATAAAATAATAAGCTATCTTATGATCTAGTAGGGTAGCATTAGGAAATCTATTCTTACTAAGATTTTAGCCAAATATTTCACAAAGTCTCTCATGCTATTCATGTGAAAAAGATGAAGAAATGTGGGCTACATGATAACACATTTGGATGGATTTGGAAATGGTTGCATGATTGGACCTCAAGGAGTAATTGCTAACATTGATGTCAGCTTGAAAGGTCTGCAATGGTGCATCCCATGGGCTCTGTCCTTGGTCCTGAGTGATTTAATCTGACTTAGATAATGTGATAAATGGATAAAATGACTTGGATAAAGGCATACATGATATGCTTGGCAAATTTTCAGATGGTACAAAGTTGGGAAGGATAAATAACACACTGGATAGTTAGAAAAGTTCCTTACATGTCACTCTATTTATAATGGGTACTTAGGGATAAGGACTCATAATATATGAAATTCTTTAGTGAGGAAAGTCCCCCTATCAAAGTAAATTGGTTCCTTCTCTGCAATTTATAGTCTTGGAGGGCTGCCCAAAGCATGTGGAGATTAAATAAGTTAGCTAGGGTCCTTGGAGATTGTGAAGAAAAAATATTAATGCTGTACTCAGCATTTTTAGGTACAAGTCTGACGGAAATGATTTTATTTAATTTAACATTATTCTAAATACAAGCATTTTCTAGCTTAGAGAAAGAGATATCTAAATCAGTGCAGTCCTCTATGTCTTTGGACAAGTTTGTTTGCCAAGACAATTTACAATAACATTTATATAGCAACTTGAACAAGGAAAAAAGTCATAATATATTATCATACACTTTTGGGTTACTATTCCAAAACAATAGCCCCTACTCATTTCTTTCCTCAACTACTGCCCTCTGAAGGTCTGAAAGGGCATCCCTGATGGGTAATGAAATCCTTTCCAAATAACAGAGGAGGGCACTTCTCTTGTTTGGGTCATAGTTCAATCTCTTCAGGGAACGATGAAGAAGACAAAAAGACAAGCCGAGAGATACCTTTGGCTCTCGTGGATTAATTTCTTCTCTTTCTTCTATGAATTTTCAAACAGGGAAAAAGTCTGGAAAAGACTTTATGCTGAACACATTTGTTTCTTAATATTTCCAGAGAAACTAAAAAAAGAGTTCTTTAATGGGCTGCCACGAGATTAATATTTGTGGTTGCAAATGTAATAAAGGAATCATTTTTAAGGAAAAAGGT